ATCTCTCCTTCACTTTCCATTTCTTTCTTCATAGTCTTTCCCTCACTTTCAGTCTCTCTTCCTTCATACTGTTCCCCTCTCTCATGTTCCATCTCTCCTTCACTTTCCATTTCTTTCTTCATAGTCTTTCCCTCACTTTCAGTCTCTCTTCCTTCATACTGTTCCCCTCTCTCATGTTCCATCTCTCCTTCACTTTCCATTTCTTTCTTCATAGTCTTTCCCTCACTTTCAGTCTCTCTTCCTTCATACTGTTCCCCTCTCTCATGTTCCATCTCTCCTTCACTTTCCATTTCTTTCTTCATAGTCTTTCCCTCACTTTCAGTCTCTCTTCCTTCATACTGTTCCCCTCTCTCATGTTCCATCTCTCCTTCACTTTCCATTTCTTTCTTCATAGTCTTTCCCTCACTTTCAGTCTCTCTTCCTTCATACTGTTCCCCTCTCTCATGTTCCATCTCTCCTTCACTTTCCATTTCTTTCTTCATAGTCTTTCCCTCACTTTCAGTCTCTCTTCCTTCATACTGTTCCCCTCTCTCATGTTCCATCTCTCCTTCACTTTCCATTTCTTTCTTCATAGTCTTTCCCTCACTTTCAGTCTCTCTTCCTTCATACTGTTCCCCTCTCTCATGTTCCATCTCTCCTTCACTTTCCATTTCTTTCTTCATAGTCTTTCCCTCACTTTCAGTCTCTCTTCCTTCATACTGTTCCCCTCTCTCATGTTCCATCTCTCCTTCACTTTCCATTTCTTTCTTCATAGTCTTTCCCTCACTTTCAGTCTCTCTTCCTTCATACTGTTCCCCTCTCTCATGTTCCATCTCTCCTTCACTTTCCATTTCTTTCTTCATAGTCTTTCCCTCACTTTCAGTCTCTCTTCCTTCATACTGTTCCCCTCTCTCATGTTCCATCTCTCCTTCACTTTCCATTTCTTTCTTCATAGTCTTTCCCTCACTTTCAGTCTCTCTTCCTTCATACTGTTCCCCTCTCTCATGTTCCATCTCTCCTTCACTTTCCATTTCTTTCTTCATAGTCTTTCCCTCACTTTCAGTCTCTCTTCCTTCATACTGTTCCCCTCTCTCATGTTCCATCTCTCCTTCACTTTCCATTTCTTTCTTCATAGTCTTTCCCTCACTTTCAGTCTCTCTTCCTTCATACTGTTCCCCTCTCTCATGTTCCATCTCTCCTTCACTTTCCATTTCTTTCTTCATAGTCTTTCCCTCACTTTCAGTCTCTCTTCCTTCATACTGTTCCCCTCTCTCATGTTCCATCTCTCCTTCACTTTCCATTTCTTTCTTCATAGTCTTTCCCTCACTTTCAGTCTCTCTTCCTTCATACTGTTCCCCTCTCTCATGTTCCATCTCTCCTTCACTTTCCATTTCTTTCTTCATAGTCTTTCCCTCACTTTCAGTCTCTCTTCCTTCATACTGTTCCCCTCTCTCATGTTCCATCTCTCCTTCACTTTCCATTTCTTTCTTCATAGTCTTTCCCTCACTTTCAGTCTCTCTTCCTTCATACTGTTCCCCTCTCTCATGTTCCATCTCTCCTTCACTTTCCATTTCTTTCTTCATAGTCTTTCCCTCACTTTCAGTCTCTCTTCCTTCATACTGTTCCCCTCTCTCATGTTCCATCTCTCCTTCACTTTCCATTTCTTTCTTCATAGTCTTTCCCTCACTTTCAGTCTCTCTTCCTTCATACTGTTCCCCTCTCTCATGTTCCATCTCTCCTTCACTTTCCATTTCTTTCTTCATAGTCTTTCCCTCACTTTCAGTCTCTCTTCCTTCATACTGTTCCCCTCTCTCATGTTCCATCTCTCCTTCACTTTCCATTTCTTTCTTCATAGTCTTTCCCTCACTTTCAGTCTCTCTTCCTTCATACTGTTCCCCTCTCTCATGTTCCATCTCTCCTTCACTTTCCATTTCTTTCTTCATAGTCTTTCCCTCACTTTCAGTCTCTCTTCCTTCATACTGTTCCCCTCTCTCATGTTCCATCTCTCCTTCACTTTCCATTTCTTTCTTCATAGTCTTTCCCTCACTTTCAGTCTCTCTTCCTTCATACTGTTCCCCTCTCTCATGTTCCATCTCTCCTTCACTTTCCATTTCTTTCTTCATAGTCTTTCCCTCACTTTCAGTCTCTCTTCCTTCATACTGTTCCCCTCTCTCATGTTCCATCTCTCCTTCACTTTCCATTTCTTTCTTCATAGTCTTTCCCTCACTTTCAGTCTCTCTTCCTTCATACTGTTCCCCTCTCTCATGTTCCATCTCTCCTTCACTTTCCATTTCTTTCTTCATAGTCTTTCCCTCACTTTCAGTCTCTCTTCCTTCATACTGTTCCCCTCTCTCATGTTCCATCTCTCCTTCACTTTCCATTTCTTTCTTCATAGTCTTTCCCTCACTTTCAGTCTCTCTTCCTTCATACTGTTCCCCTCTCTCATGTTCCATCTCTCCTTCACTTTCCATTTCTTTCTTCATAGTCTTTCCCTCACTTTCAGTCTCTCTTCCTTCATACTGTTCCCCTCTCTCATGTTCCATCTCTCCTTCACTTTCCATTTCTTTCTTCATAGTCTTTCCCTCACTTTCAGTCTCTCTTCCTTCATACTGTTCCCCTCTCTCATGTTCCATCTCTCCTTCACTTTCCATTTCTTTCTTCATAGTCTTTCCCTCACTTTCAGTCTCTCTTCCTTCATACTGTTCCCCTCTCTCATGTTCCATCTCTCCTTCACTTTCCATTTCTTTCTTCATAGTCTTTCCCTCACTTTCAGTCTCTCTTCCTTCATACTGTTCCCCTCTCTCATGTTCCATCTCTCCTTCACTTTCCATTTCTTTCTTCATAGTCTTTCCCTCACTTTCAGTCTCTCTTCCTTCATACTGTTCCCCTCTCTCATGTTCCATCTCTCCTTCACTTTCCATTTCTTTCTTCATAGTCTTTCCCTCACTTTCAGTCTCTCTTCCTTCATACTGTTCCCCTCTCTCATGTTCCATCTCTCCTTCACTTTCCATTTCTTTCTTCATAGTCTTTCCCTCACTTTCAGTCTCTCTTCCTTCATACTGTTCCCCTCTCTCATGTTCCATCTCTCCTTCACTTTCCATTTCTTTCTTCATAGTCTTTCCCTCACTTTCAGTCTCTCTTCCTTCATACTGTTCCCCTCTCTCATGTTCCATCTCTCCTTCACTTTCCATTTCTTTCTTCATAGTCTTTCCCTCACTTTCAGTCTCTCTTCCTTCATACTGTTCCCCTCTCTCATGTTCCATCTCTCCTTCACTTTCCATTTCTTTCTTCATAGTCTTTCCCTCACTTTCAGTCTCTCTTCCTTCATACTGTTCCCCTCTCTCATGTTCCATCTCTCCTTCACTTTCCATTTCTTTCTTCATAGTCTTTCCCTCACTTTCAGTCTCTCTTCCTTCATACTGTTCCCCTCTCTCATGTTCCATCTCTCCTTCACTTTCCATTTCTTTCTTCATAGTCTTTCCCTCACTTTCAGTCTCTCTTCCTTCATACTGTTCCCCTCTCTCATGTTCCATCTCTCCTTCACTTTCCATTTCTTTCTTCATAGTCTTTCCCTCACTTTCAGTCTCTCTTCCTTCATACTGTTCCCCTCTCTCATGTTCCATCTCTCCTTCACTTTCCATTTCTTTCTTCATAGTCTTTCCCTCACTTTCAGTCTCTCTTCCTTCATACTGTTCCCCTCTCTCATGTTCCATCTCTCCTTCACTTTCCATTTCTTTCTTCATAGTCTTTCCCTCACTTTCAGTCTCTCTTCCTTCATACTGTTCCCCTCTCTCATGTTCCATCTCTCCTTCACTTTCCATTTCTTTCTTCATAGTCTTTCCCTCACTTTCAGTCTCTCTTCCTTCATACTGTTCCCCTCTCTCATGTTCCATCTCTCCTTCACTTTCCATTTCTTTCTTCATAGTCTTTCCCTCACTTTCAGTCTCTCTTCCTTCATACTGTTCCCCTCTCTCATGTTCCATCTCTCCTTCACTTTCCATTTCTTTCTTCATAGTCTTTCCCTCACTTTCAGTCTCTCTTCCTTCATACTGTTCCCCTCTCTCATGTTCCATCTCTCCTTCACTTTCCATTTCTTTCTTCATAGTCTTTCCCTCACTTTCAGTCTCTCTTCCTTCATACTGTTCCCCTCTCTCATGTTCCATCTCTCCTTCACTTTCCATTTCTTTCTTCATAGTCTTTCCCTCACTTTCAGTCTCTCTTCCTTCATACTGTTCCCCTCTCTCATGTTCCATCTCTCCTTCACTTTCCATTTCTTTCTTCATAGTCTTTCCCTCACTTTCAGTCTCTCTTCCTTCATACTGTTCCCCTCTCTCATGTTCCATCTCTCCTTCACTTTCCATTTCTTTCTTCATAGTCTTTCCCTCACTTTCAGTCTCTCTTCCTTCATACTGTTCCCCTCTCTCATGTTCCATCTCTCCTTCACTTTCCATTTCTTTCTTCATAGTCTTTCCCTCACTTTCAGTCTCTCTTCCTTCATACTGTTCCCCTCTCTCATGTTCCATCTCTCCTTCACTTTCCATTTCTTTCTTCATAGTCTTTCCCTCACTTTCAGTCTCTCTTCCTTCATACTGTTCCCCTCTCTCATGTTCCATCTCTCCTTCACTTTCCATTTCTTTCTTCATAGTCTTTCCCTCACTTTCAGTCTCTCTTCCTTCATACTGTTCCCCTCTCTCATGTTCCATCTCTCCTTCACTTTCCATTTCTTTCTTCATAGTCTTTCCCTCACTTTCAGTCTCTCTTCCTTCATACTGTTCCCCTCTCTCATGTTCCATCTCTCCTTCACTTTCCATTTCTTTCTTCATAGTCTTTCCCTCACTTTCAGTCTCTCTTCCTTCATACTGTTCCCCTCTCTCATGTTCCATCTCTCCTTCACTTTCCATTTCTTTCTTCATAGTCTTTCCCTCACTTTCAGTCTCTCTTCCTTCATACTGTTCCCCTCTCTCATGTTCCATCTCTCCTTCACTTTCCATTTCTTTCTTCATAGTCTTTCCCTCACTTTCAGTCTCTCTTCCTTCATACTGTTCCCCTCTCTCATGTTCCATCTCTCCTTCACTTTCCATTTCTTTCTTCATAGTCTTTCCCTCACTTTCAGTCTCTCTTCCTTCATACTGTCTCTCTCTCTCTTGCATTCCATCTCTCCCTCGCTTTTCATCTCTTTCTTCATACAGTCTGTCTCTCTTCCTTCATATGGTCTTTCTCCTTTCATAGTCACTCTCTCTCTTTCTCTCTCTCATGTTCCATCTCTCCCTCGCTTCTAACAACTTCCTTCATACAGTTTCTCTCCCTCAGTCTGTCTCTTCCATCAGACTGTCTCTCTCCCTCATTTACCATCTCTCTCTCTTCATATTGTCTCTCTCCATCACTTTCCATCTCTCTGTCTCTCTCTCTCTCACTTCCTCCGCTCTGCTCCCACCTGACTCGTCGTCCGACTTGTTATCATTGTCCGAGTCGGTGAGCGTCAGGGCAGAGTTCTCCCGGCTGGACAGGCCCGAGCTGCGCCGGGACTTGCTGCCTTGTCCCCCCCACAGCTGGATGGCACGCTCCGGGGACATGGCTCCCTCGGGGTCGGAGTCAGCGTCCGAGCCAGCACTGAGGGAGTAGCCCCGCTGCAGCAGGCCCAGGTCCGGGCAGTAGGCGCTCTGGTGCGGTGGCGGCGGTTCACAGACGCCCAACTCAGCCAGCCGGAAGTTCCCTGTGGACAGCGACAGCTGTGTCACGGTGTCTTCTCACGTCACACTGCTGGGGGGGAGGGAGGCGGGGTAGTGGCTATGAGGGGCTGGAAATGTTACAGCTTAGAGGGGGCTGCTGAGGCTGGAACAGACTACAATACTGGTAAGAAGGAAAGCCCATTCAGAAGGATTCTTGCGTGCACCGGAGACTGTCATTCAGAGCAGCATTGCCATGGGGCCCCAGCAGCCAGTGGAGGAGCGGGGGCAAAACCAGCAGCACCAGAGTGTGATGCAAACCAGACCCACTTTTTGCCCTGGACGCAGCAATCTCATTTATCCACCCAAGCAAACAGAAAAATGTGAAAGCTATTTAAAGATGAGCTCTCCTATTGTCGCTCCAACTAAGTGAATTAGACTGCTTAGGATTCTAATATGTGAGATTGTGGAGGGTGTGAAACAGGACAGAGAGGAATGCTAACGAGCCGAGTGGGAGCTGAAGGAGCTGTCATAAAAGTGCCATGTTTACCCTGTGGCCCTGCCTGTGAAGTATGACTGTGAATTCCTCATTTACTAGAGATGTTCCACTTTTCATCTTTTGCATGTGCACTTTTCCTTCTGCCCTCCAGCAAAGCAGCATTCTCCTTGTATACCGCCGAGCATCCACAGGTAACCCAAGCAACATACCTTCAGCTGTACATTAATCCCCTATAGGCGAGCGTCCTGTAGGCACGTGTCCCGTAGGCGCGTGTCTCCTGAAGGCACGCATCCCCTATAGGCGAGCGTCCTGTAGGCACGTGCTCCGTAGGTGCGTGTACCCTGAAGGCACGCATCCCCTATAGGCGAGCGTCCTGTAGGCACGTGCTCCGTAGGTGCGTGTCTCCTGAAGGCACGCATCCCCTATAGGCGAGCGTCCTGAAGGCACGTGCTCCGTAGGTGCGTGTACCCTGAAGGCACGCATCCCCTATAGGCGAGCGTCCTGTAGGC